CTAAGGAGACCAGTCGGGGAGGCACTGAGGTCCCGGAGGGGAGGGGAGTTGGGAGGCGAAGAAGAATGGTTGTTCCTGAAGGAGACGATCCTCCAAGCCCAAAGGGTGCAATCCCAACACGGATCAAAGGGGGCAAGAGTGCTCAAAAGCCCCCATGGCTCACCAAAAGCATCCAGGAATGTCTCAAAGCTAAGAAGGAGGTGTACACCCAATGGAAGGGAGGGGCATCACCAGGGAGGACTATACCTCCGTTGCTCAGGATTGTAAGGGGGCTGTTAGGAAGGCCAAGGCAGAGATGGAACTGGGACTAGCAACCTGGATCAAGGATAACAAGAAATCATTTTTAAATATATAGGGGGTAAAAAGAAAGTTCCAGGTAACATGGGGCCTCTGCAGGACACGCTTGGAAATTTGGTGGTCTCACCAGACAACAAAGCTAACCTATTTAACAATTTCCTTGCCTCCATTTTTCTGAGCAGGGATCAGGTCATCCCCCATACCAGGATCCCCAATGGTCCCAGGGGAGGCACAGCCAGGCCCAGGGTCAGAGAGGACCTAGCCAGGGAACTTCTGGTGGGACTGGATGTGTTCAAATCAGCAGGTCCTGATGATCTCAAGATCGTTTCAGGCTGGACATGAGGAAGAACTTCTTTACTGTCCGAGCCCCCAAGGTCTGGAACAGCCTGCCACCGGAGGTGGTTCAAGCGCCTTCATTGAACACCTTCAAGATGAAACTGGATGCTTATCTTGCTGGGATCCTATGACCCCAGCTGACTTCCTGCCCTTTGGGCAGGGGGCTGGACTCGATGATCTTCTGAGGTCCCTTCCAGCCCTGATGTCTATGAAATCTATGAAAAACCTCTCAGTATGCCCCAGAGCAAAACTTTAGGCACCTAGGAAAGATTTTATGTACCTCTATGGTGAGCTGAGTGAGGATTAGAGTATATTAAGTTTGTATTAGGTGCCAAAGTTCCGCCTAAGTCTCATTCCAAGTGCCTAAGTGCCATTTTGGATCTGGGTCCAAGATCAGAAGTTTCTCCTTTGGCAAACTGTCACTGAAGGTTACTGGAGCGTTGGTTCAATAAAGACCATCAGGGGTTGGCCCTAAGGCTATCAATAACATGGTGTGATTCTTTTCTATTGTGAGATTTTATTTACTAGCTGTCAAGGAACAAAACAATAATCATGCTTCCCTATCTGACAGAGTCAATATTTTTCACATATTTGTCTGCCAAAAGGAAGGCTCTGTGCTACATTCCCTCCCCCCACATTGCAGTCCTTATGAAGTAGAAGAGGGAAAACAGAAGTTGAAAAGAATGTTGCATGCAAGGTAGCTTTATTAGGTGCACTTTTAACACCTTCCAGAAAATATAATTACGGTGAAGACACATGCATATGAAAATCAAAAGGAAGGTTTACAACACAGCAGTTAGTGCTGCGTGGCTTAGGAAATTGGATATGAACCAAGATGCTGATTAGCAGACTGAATGACTTCCAGCAGATGCTGAAAAAGGTTCTTTGATATATATTAGCAGGAA